TGGGATATTATTTTAATAATAATGTGGTACCTGAATTGGTGCATCAATATGTCAAACATGACTCATAACTTGTCAACAATGTTAAAAAACATATTTTTCATTTTTCATTTTCAGCTATTACTCTAATTTTTTTATTTTTACAAAACTTATGCTATTATAACTCACTTTTTTTATTGAGGAACAGGAAAATAAAAGCGTATGACAAATATATACTACTGACAACATAAACACAGATGGTTGCACCGGCCCATGTTTGATCAATCTGACAGAACCTAAAAAAGTCTTCTGAAGTCTAAAAAAGCACCCCCCCCCCAATAAAAATAAAAATAAAATAAAATGAAAAAACTTAATTGCCAAATTATGAACAAATAAACCCTACTGAAATGTATTTGATTAGATAAATATCCTTTTTAACATACCTTTATTATGTAAACTTTATTGTAATTAAATAGTTTGACTCACTTGTCAAAAAAGGCTTAAAAATAATAAAAGGCCGCGCGTGCTCCTGAGGAATTGAGACATGGGACAAAACTTCCGTTTTCAGCTCCAACTCTCAGTTGTTTTACTTTGTAGAGCACAAAGCGGAAGTGGCGGTGCCTGACGCTGCTGCCGGACTGGGCTCTGAGCTGGGCTCAGCGGGAGCGGAGCAGAAACCATGGAGCGCAACAAGACGCGCCGGAGAGTACCAGGGAGCGGACGGGAGGAGCAGCAGCCCCAGGGCGGCTCGTAGGTCTCTCTCTGCCGGCGGACAGGAGCAGCGCAGCCAGGTGGACGCTGAGTTTGACGCAAGGCGTGCGTAAAAATAATATAAAACATAAATAAAACTGTCTGGAGAGGAACGAAAAGACTGTTGGAGTCACCGGCCGCTACCAAGGAGTACAGGAGGAGTTATTATTCTTATTAATTAATAAAAATGTTTTAAATGAACTTCCCTTCCGGTTTCTCATCGTTTGGGAAATTTAAAGTCGCACCCGCGCGCTGCGTAAATCATCCGCGTTCTCCTGTTTCCCCCACGAGGAGCGGCTACTTTTCTTCTAAGGAATCTGAGAGAGGAGTGGAGCTCCACAAACACAGAGAAATAAGGTCCAAGCCCCCGAGCTTTTAGGAACCATGGTGAAGTTTCAGAACTCGGACCTCTGGATAGCCTGGATGGTTATTTTCTGCATGGAGGGTAAGTTGTGCGACTTTTTTTTTTTTTTTTTTTGGAAACTTGTGCGCCTCTTCCCGTGGTGGCTGACAGTTCAATAATCTCTGTAAACAACGGCTTTATCTTGAAATTTCAGTCAAGCTAGTGTTAAGGAGGACGAAGTACTAAGATGTAATTAAACGTGTGCCAAAAAAAAAAGTCTCTCCGAGTGCGCGTGCCACAGCCACTTGACTCCTTATTACAGTGTGTTTGGATCAGGCTGACAAATCCCTGGCACTTCTACAAAAAATAAATCACTCATTTTTCTCTTCCTGTCTTTACTACTCGCCATCATCCCTCTCTCTCTCTCTCTCTCTCTCTCTTTTTCTCTCTCTCTCTTTCTTTTTTGATTCGCGCCCGTTTTATCTCCTAATGCGCTCTGCCTTTGATACGCTGCTCTTACGCAACTAAAAATCATTCTTTTTAAAGCCACTGATACACACATTTAAAAATCCAAGAAGAAGAAGAAGAAAAAAGGTTGATACAGTAGTGGGAGTGTCCGTGTTTGGAAATAGAAACGGAGCAGACGGCCGCTGGTAATCCGTCCGATTAACGAGAACTAGGCTATGGTGAGCAGCGGCGCAGGAGACCCCGGAGGAGGAAAATATATATCCTGTGTGTTCCCACAGTTTACCAGTGGGAATTACACTGTGTGCTTCCTTTCTGACCTGACTTTACTTCTTAGATTTCGGTGCTACCACTGTGTTTCTTGCTCTAATCCAACTGTTGAAAATGCAATGCAAGTTAAATGAGATTACCTGACAACACAGACAAAYAGTAGGAACTAAAATAAACTAATATCTTAAATATCTCCTGTCTTGCTCAGTTCATGGGTGAGAACAGATAAGAAAAAAGTAAATTCAAATCAACTTAAAGACTAAACGATGAATGTAAGCTAATTGTATTTTATCCATAAATGCATAATTTTATGAAAATCAAAATAAYGGTAAAAAGAAAGTTGCAAGTTGCAAATGGCATTGTTGCAAATAAAAACTTTAAGGGCGCATGTTCGAAATCAACATTTTTAGCTGTTAAATGCATTTTGTTATTTTGTTGTGTTGGAGTCATGAGTGCAGAAAAGTTGATTTTTAATCTCTCCCAGTTCTGCAAAGGTATTTTTATATTCGGTACCATTCTATTTTTCACTTTGTTCCATTTTCTCTATTTTCTACACTCTAAAAATGAAATGTTGGATTTACTTAACCACGTTATGTTACCTGGTTCCACTTAACTGAGTTGAGTAAATTCAAAGCAATATACCAGTTTTTTAGCCAAAGAAMATGAGCATGTTGCTTTGAATTTACTCAACTCAGTTAAGTGGAACCAGGTAACATAACATGGTTAAGTAAATCCAACATTTCATTTTCAGAGTGTGTAAAGCACCTTGTTTGCATTTAGAGACAGCCGCAAAATGAGATGATCTGAGACACACTTCAGAAAAAAAAGTGAAAGAGGGGCTTGTGGAGTTACAATAAGAAGGAATTCAGACCAAAGCATTGCAATTCCATTTTATATAGACCCCAGCTGAATGATTTAAATGTGAACAAAAGGCTTTAACGCATGTGTCCACTTTAAAACTACACTTTCTATTACCGACCACCTTACTGCAAGAAGTCCTACTGTGCTACCCTCTAACATTTCACCTCATCTAGTGTTTTCTCTGCCAGAATTCGAAAAAAAAAATCAGATAAACTGAAAAAACGTGGTTGCACTTGTCAAATGTAGCGATCTGGGTAATTTTTTGACTGAGTAAACTCTGACCCCACAATGTTTTGCACACAGAAAACTATTGAGAGACTGAATGGTTGTTTGTTGTGTCCCTGTGATGGACCTGTCCAAGGTGTCCCACACTTCAGTGGCTGCTGGAGATAGGCACCAGGAAGGAAAAAAAAGTGGGTTAAAAACATGATTGGATGGATGAAGTTTAAAATAGAATCCAGAGATTTGCTCAAACAAAAACAGAACATTTCCTGTGAATCACAAACTCACAGCTGTAATGTCACTTGGAGACAGAGCTGTGTGAAACTGAATTAAATTTTGATTTGCCAGATGTTTCACTCTGCTGCTTGCCTATTTTAATTTTTTTATTTTTGGTATTTACACCTCTGCAGTCAGCTTTACTTACCGTGTAGCTGCATGAAGTTTCTCATGAACTGTTTTTGTCGTATAAAATGTTTTCCAAATTAAAATGATAGCTTTTGTTTTGCTGAAGAGATCAGCCTCCACTCAGACAGAGTAAACTCCAGTGTGAGTTGAGCTTTTTAAAGACATCGACTTGTATGTTTATGAAGATTCTTCCCTTCTCTCGTGTCCTGTCTGCGTTGCTATAAATAAGGTCTGATGCAGCAAAACCAATATTGATTGTGGTTGTTTGTTTTGGCAGCAGATACTGACCTCCACCTTATTCGTGTTATTGTCACAAGTATGATCAGATCAGCTCAGATGAGTGAATGGTTCAGAATTTTACACAATGTCACCATGAGATGATTCACTTTGAAATTTAAATAAAACTTTACATTCACTCATATTGGGTATCAATGTTATAATATTTTCAGGATTTGAATAATGACAGTTTACAGAGCAGTGACAACCAACTTCAGTGTTTTTTTATTTTAATAGGTGCACATTGTAGATTTTTTTCAATTCACAATTGTACATAAAGGGTCAAATTTAATAGAATGTTGCGTAAAATTTGCACCTCAACACACTTACATTCATCTACAGCAAGGGTGTCAAACTGGTTCTTGAGGGCTGTTATCCTGCATGTTTTCCTTGTTTCTTCGCTCCAGCACACCTGATTCATCGATTCAATTATCGCTTCAAAATTCTGTAGAAGTCTGTTAATCAGCTGTTAATGCAGCTCAGGTGTGATGAGCAGGGAAACAAGAAAGCACGCTGGACAGCGGCCCTCGAGGATCGGAGTTCAACACGATCTCTGGCATCATTCAGTCATTCAGGCTGAAATTTGATTACTTCAATTTACAGAATAAGTAGAGGTCATTTAATTGGTCAGGTTCCTGGCAGCTGGTCTCCATGTGGCCCTGTGATAGATTTGCAACCTGTCCAAGGTGTACCCTGTGTTTAATACAATGACTGCAGGACATATAGGCACCAGCACCCTCGTGACTAGGCCTGTGTATTGGCAAGAATTTGGCGATACGATACATATCATGACAGAGGGGTCACGATACGATATATCCTGATACATTGCGATATTTTTGTCCAAAAATTCTATTAAWTAAAARCCTCWYASKGGAAAAAAAAAAGAAAAACCAAAATTCATTGTCTCAGAAARTTCTAATATTACAGAGACATACTTTTGATACATTTAGCTGTGTTCTGCTTTGTTTGAGTTTTTTTTATTTGTTTCTTATTTCATCCATGTTTTCAATTATTAGACCAAATTTGACAATAAATAGTTTAAAAATATATTTTTTGCAGCTTTTAGTTTTTAATATTAATTTACAATATGGTCACCCAACACTTAACAAAAGCCTCTACCTCAAGAGGTAGAGGAGCCAAATGGCTGGCTCACTGCTGCCAACTAGTGGTCAGAGGCTGAACTACAACATAAAAATGAACAGCTGGCAGGAAAGTTGACATTTTAAACCTTAATAAAACAAATCAATACCAGGGCTTTAGAATATCGATACAGTACTGGGAAATGAAATATCGCGATATTTCAGTGTATCGATATTTTCTTACACCCCTACTCGTGACCAGAAGAAAGTGATGCRTGGATGGATGGTTTCCTGGTACAGAACAGGGGCGTACGCACAAGAAAAGTTCCACGGGTTCCACGCACACATCTGAATGTATCAAAACGAACGTTGCGTGAAAGTGTGCATAAATATACGCAGACTTGTTATCTGCCATGAGAATCTGCGGACCGCCACGAAAACTTTTCCAATCGACAGTTTTAAACCCCATACTGAACATCACCTACTCATTCTTTGCATTTTCCAGACATTTTCCTAGCGTAACCCTGACCCTTAACCCTAAAACTAACCACCCCAGTACTGACCCTAAACCTGACCCCTCACCCACAACTGGCATTCGTACCTGTGGGGACCAGGCTTTGGTACACCCACGTTTGTTGAGATATATGAATGAAAGGAACACTAAAACACACGTGCGCACGTTTTGATGCATCCAAATATTTCTGTGAGTTTGTTTATTCACTTTCGTCCATATGACAACTTTTGATTTGAAAGCTGAGCACTCTTTGATACGTGAAACCCCTGGCTTTTAATAGTGGAAAAAGTTCCAAAATGGTTGAGGTTGGTGCATTGTGAAGCCCATTCCAAATGTACCAGCGTAGTCTGATTTATCCAACAGAAATCTGCTTTAATGGTTGTTAGTATTCCAGCCAGTGGTGTGGATGAATCCAAATGCAGACAGACAGAGAACACCAATGTAACTAAGCTCATTTATTAAAAAAAAAAACACGTCATAGCAGCAATCTCACGTATAAAAAAAGAGAACACAGGAGACACAAGATGAACCAAGACTGATGGTGGAAACCATAACCGCTGAGGTGGAAGGAGACTGATTAAATAGAGCCAGACTGATGAGGTATGAAAGGCAGCTGAGCTGAGTGAGAGTGACAACAGGTGTGAGTGGCTGATTGACTGGAAAATCACTAAGGACTGACTGAGGGCAAAATGAATAAACTAGAACAAGGATTTCACAAAGGTTGATCTGAAGATTACACAGAAACACAAATAGGCAGATAACTAAACAGCGAGCACAAGTAACAGCAGTACAATAAACACCTAATTTGTGTCCAAGTTTCACCATCCAGCTGTTGATTTGAGGGGAAGTTGAAGAATTTGAAGGAACACGTAGTACCACCTAATGTACTAGTACCACAGCATCATGCTATCACCACCATACTTGACATTTAATACAGTTTGCTTGGGTTTTAAAAACCTCACTTTGACTTCTCCAGGTTGTTTTCACTTCTCACCATGGAAATTTGTCTT